CCAAATGACGCCGAAATTGACCGCCTCTGTAGCCAAATGGTTAAACGTATTGCCTAGCATTGCGTTAAGCGCAAAAGGTCCTGGGTTCCAATCCCAGGCAAACATAAAATTGTTTCGGTCGGGCAGGGCCAGAAGTCTGATCAAGTACTCTCCCGTTAAAAGAACGGATCAGTGAAACGGACAGAGAAATGTGTTCGCCCCATGCCCCACGAGGGGAAACGGGCTTTCACTTTATTTAACGCCCGCCAATCCGCATTGGATTAGTGTGGTAGGTCTTATAAACCTTTTTCTAATTTTATAAGCTTGCTATAAACGCGAAACATTCTGGTTCTGAGAACCTGGGGTAGAAATAGAACATATAAATGATACAGAAATGTCTGTCCTATATGTTAGCAATGTACGGCATACAATCAGCGGGCCGAGTTCGATGCTCACTGGGTCCAAATTTTTTAAAATAAATTCATATATTTTACTTCGTCAGGAAATCTAGTAATTCAATTCGTTGTAGGTATATCTACATACTGTCGGGGTCACGGTCACGGGGTGCCGTCCACAGATGAAAACGTCGTTAAGTTTAATTACATTTTGATTTTTGTCTGTGAATTTTCGAATATCCAAAACCAAAATAGTTCGACCGCCGATCTTGCTTAGATGTTATATGGCTGGAGTATTTCAGCTGCCATCAAATGAACTCGATGCTTGTCTATTCTTCTCTATCATTAAAAAATCTGTAAATCTGTCAAAATTACGGCACGTTTAATATTCACTGCAGGTTAATTATTCTCCGTATACCGCGAAAGTATGTTTGTTGTGGACAAACAAAAATATCTCACCCGTGCCTTTGTAATTGTTAAATTCGTGGAAGGTCAGAACAACACGGGCTGAACTTTGAATTTCAATAGAGTTCGACGGTTTGTTGAGGCACACAAAGGGTAATAAGAGAGACGCGGAGCTATATAAACATATTATGCAGGGAAAACATAAGCTTACGAGAATTTGAATACAGTATAAAGAGATCTTAGTAATGGGATGATCGGATGGATTTATGTAAACAAGGTAAGGGACAGTGTACTGTAGCCTTCCGTGGGTAATACAAATGTTTTCCCGCTCAGAATCAAAGAACATCACGTTAAAATCACAGTAAAAACCTGGCAGAGCAAATATAAAGTAAACAAAACTTTTATTTTATTCCCCGAACATTCAATGTTATTACATTGTGCCGCGAATATTTTCGTCAAAATGCAATAAAATATTTTTATTTAAATATATTTCGATTCGAGTGTTGTCGGTCGTTTTCCATGACAATCGTGCGGCTCATTGGAATGCAGCATGACCACGCAAGCACTCCTACACTGCATTGTCAAGCTGAAAATCTTTACATGGAGTGTAACATTGCTGAAAATTTATCTATTGTAGTCTCAACTTTTCCCACTGTTGGGCACAATTCTCTTTTTCTTACAGTGGAGAGAGTTTAACTTTCAAGTTTAATAGAAAAGTTTAACGGTTTAAAACGCGGCATATATTAGTTAAACTCATTTGAAAATTATTTTAAATACGGCCCGACGTCAGCCGTGGCACGTCGAGACTAAGGATGGAGGATGTCTCTGATGTCAAAATAAAAACTGCTACGCTAGCGCTATCTGTATCGCCGTAGTTGGTATTTGATGAAACTGGTCTGGTTTCCTCCTGAAATACCTCCATCAAAACAAGTGCTCTTCGAGGCACGGAGGTGCTAATTTCTCCAAATATTACTATCACAGAGTTTAGAAGTCACACCTCACACGTAGACCAAACTAAAAACAATATTGACAACTCGCTCAACACTTTCTCACGAACTGCGCCTCAAATTTTTCATAACCATAAAGTTTCTAATGAATGAAGAGTTATAAAACGCCGACGTCACTTGTTTGCGTTGAGCATATTATTATTTATATTGCAGCGCAGCAGCGGGCGGCATTCCAGCTCAACTTGCTGACTGGCAAACTCCTTATTATTCATTGCAACGGCGGCTAACTGATAATAAAACTTTGCCGCTCGTCAATTTAACTGCAAGTAATTTACAGCGCCCGTGTGCTATTTTCTCAACGAAACATATCGAGGGCTTTTAATTGAAGCCGCTCCAGTTGCTCGGTATCGTTAGCGAGAGACGTAGAAATCATATATATTAATCAAAATCTGTTTTCGATATGAAAACTTCGCTGACGGATGCCGAAGCCCGAACCCCATTGTGGCGTTCCGTACTCCTACCTACTTACAGTACGTACAGTAGTAACGTAATAGTAACTACGTAGCTACTGTACTTTTCCAAGTCAGATACTGTAATTTAGTAAAACTACTAGATAACACGGCAAACACTGTTGTATATTGCAGTATAAATTATCTTTTGGGAATTTCTGGTTTGTAAGGATCTGGTAAGTGAGAGACATGGAGCGCAGTGAACGACGATATAAAAGTAACGAAACATAAATTTATTGGCACCGGTAGACATTTGAGGGGACAACTTACTAAGTGGTAATTGATCATTTCAAACCAAATATAACCTACCTATAGGGGTCGGTGGTAGAAGGGTAAACATTTAGTATTGTATTTATTTTCAATGGGACATTTAAAAAAATGAGGGAGTATAAAAATGAAAGATAATAACCGATTGTTAGACCTGTCGAATGTGCTTATAAAATTGCACAAAAATCGGTCGAGCTGTTTCGGATGAGTATGGTAACTAACACTAACACGAGAATTTTATATACTAGATAATGCATTGAAAATCTTACTCCTAAGTAATAAAAAACTTCGCCAAAAAGACATATCCCAGTAAAGTAAAAATCGTAGTAAAGTTTTACATAGCACGCATTTTGTAATACCTATAGTCATTGACACGTTTATAAAAGCTATAGTATAATATATATATATATATATATATATATATATATATATATTATATATATATATTATATATATATATATATTATATATATATATATTATAAAAGCGTAGTTTTTAATTTAAAAAAATGAACACATCCTACATTAGCGGAGGTATCATTTCGATCTGTGCACGTCGTTTGTCAAAACGCGGTTCAGTAGTTTCAACGTTAAAAAACTCGTACATATATACATAGAGAGACAAAAACATTTTCTCTCTGGCTTCACCGTAATCGGGTACGAAATATAAAACAATGTTTCGAAAAAGGAGAGCTAAGAATCCATTCATTACTTAAAGTAAAATTCACTCTATATCTGAGAGGTGTAATAAATTGGCACGAATTTTCGTGATGCTGGTTACAGAGGCGTGACATACAGTCGGGGCCTCAGCACTTAGACGTAATCATACGCTATTAGGGGTGATGAATAAAAAACGGAAGAGAAATTATCATTTTTGCACGATGAGCGCTTTATTATGATCTAAATTCTCTCGTCCATTATGTAGATTTATATGACGTAAGTGGTTGTGTAACATGTACTTAGAGTTATAAATATCATAATAAAATATACTGTTAAAAAAATCTAAAACGTTAAATATGCGAAGCATCCGAAATATAAATTGTAAATAAGTTTACTCTATATTTTTCGTGTTTTAAACCGTCAAAAGTGTTTATTTAAATAATATTTAACTAATATATATCGCGTTGGTAAAGTGTTTTATTTATTATAATCATTTGCAATAATATCAATAGCTACAATTTGGTACAATTAAAACGTGTCCCCGGATAACAGAGGTGGGGCCGAACTTTAAAAATGTGAATACACTAAAAAAGGAAACTGGGAATTTCATGAGCGCTGTAAAATCGTTCGGTCGTAAAAGGAGAACGCGCGATATTTTAACTGGAAGTCATTAACATGACACATTAACCAGTGGCGCGCCTCTCCGGCATAACAGGGGCATCGGTTCGTGCCAACTAGCGAATTAACTGCTATTTGCTCATTCATTAATTTACTGCCTAAACTTACAGGCTTTTATTGCCTTGGGGTTAGGCCCGGAAATAGTTTAAGGCGTTAAATAATCGTGATGGTCCAATTAATCTCCGCATTGTCTATTCCATTATTTATGACCCTAATCTATTTTGTTAATGAGTTTCATTGTTCACCGTTATGACGTTATTAACATCGTTTCTATAGTCTCTTTTTCACCGCGGCTGTAATATATTTCACGTTTTAAAACGGTTAAAAGTTTTCATTAATATTAGTATACCCACATAGTTTTATTACTGTTCGTCAGACTACAGATGGCTACAAATGTAAGTATAGGATTCATGTAATTTAGCTCACGTTAAGAACTTATGTCATGCCTACAAAATACGTTTTAAATATATAAATCGAAAATAAACTGAAAAATTTTTCGACTCGGGCAGGACTTGAATCGGCATCGTCAGCGTTCCGTATAAAAATTAAATTATATATTATGCAATATGCAATAATATGTAAATAATATTTAAGTTTTGAAATGAATTCAAATTAAATTTTAACCGCCCAAATTCTAAAGCTAAAAGGTTAAACTCGTTGTGTTAAGCGTGGGAGGTCGTGGGATCGAATCGCCGGGAAACAACAAATTGCTACGGTCGGGCGCAGTACAAAAGTCTGATCAACTTGCCTGTAAAAGAACATATAAGTGAAGCGGACACTGAAATGTATTCGTCCCATGTCATTTTAAATATATATTATGAGCAAATAAAGTTATTCTCTTCTTGTTGGGTTTCTATTGTAATCTTCCTCGAAAAGTACATATTTGAATGAAACAATTTTAATGGTTTCATATATATTAGTAAACTTATATACAATTCAATTTAAATATGGCCCGACGATTCGGATGCTGTGCAGCTGCCTTTATTTCAACCAATAAGGGCTTGATTAGTCACACAAGGCACTAAAGGCGGGTTCGATAAGGACGGAAACATATGGAGAAATTTGGTTATGCCTTAATACTGGTCTCAACTTTTTACTATCACTTTACTATTTTGTAGAATAAATGACACATTTAAACGTGCACTGTACCGTTAAGAGCGCTTAAGCTGGATCCATCGTCGGAAAATAAATAGCTGCTGCTGCAGAATCCCGATCACTATCATTAGACTTTTTACAATGCGGTTTAAAAAGTCCAGCAGTGGAGGAACCGCAGATAAATTCCAGCTCGATCGTATCTCGCAGAGCAATTAAGATAAGCGAACACTGTGCTGTCACGGCTCTACGTTTAGCGGACCTCGTAGATTTATGCGCGCTACACGAACCCGTAGACCGGTTCACTATTGCGCTAAACTGCGCCATTATTCATACGGTAATTGTTATTAACTATAAAGGCGTAGCATAACACCTAGCTAGAATCTCTGCTGGATGATAAAAATATTAATTTATCTAAAAAAACTTCATCCATAATTGCTGATCAAAAAGATTTAAGGTCAGACATGGTACAAAAAAATCAATAAGGCTTTTTTGGACGTAGTTTAAATATATAAAAAAAAAACACTTTAACGGTTTAACGCGATATATATTAGTTAAACTTATTTGAAATTATCCCAGCCAAAAATATCTAAACAAGATGCGCTGACCCATTCTGGGTTTTGATGTTAGGAAATTCACCGACTGTAACTAAATGCAAATATAAGTTAAACTTATTTAAATACTTATTTAAATAAGTTTAACTAATATATCGCGTTTTAAACCGTTAAAGTGTTTTATTTCAACATTTATTGACGGTTGTTGATTCATGCAATTTTGATATATTGAAAAAATTTATATATTTCTAAAAACTTTTTTGACTCATCGGGAATTTAAAACTACAATAATACGGTAGTATTTTAAAATATAAACTAACAATGTTTTTAGCGATCTGAAATGGCAAAATTACTTCGCACAAGATAAAAATGGATGAAAAAATATTAAAAACAAACTCATTATTTCTATGACCATGCAGAAAACCAACTGACCAGAAGTTCAAATAACTTTGTATTTTAATATGATGAGATTAAAACCAAGCTCCCTGTTATTACGTGGAAAATATAAAAATCTCAATTTTGTAATGAAAATGTATTATAGTAATACTACTCTTAAGTACCACTTGAAAAGGACTCCGCTGTAACGATTATGTGAAAGAATTTGACACTTATCTCTATAGAAATAGGGTTGAAATTAAATTTATGTACGTCTAGTTAATAATAGCAATTAGAGTATGAGTGCGGTGATAATGCACAGTTTGCACGCAATCTACAAAAGCCGTGTAAGTTAAAAAAAACTAATCAGAAGGTTAATTAAAAATTCCATCAGTATAAAAATGCCCTTTCCGCTATCAAGTGGACCGATCTTAATATAATTAGTGTCATTAGGGGTCGAAATGTTATAATTACATTACATATATTGCAAATTGTAGGATAGAATTGCTTCTCTAATTTAATTATCATTAATTAATTGTTGGTTTAACGGCGTATACTGATTGTTCTTAAGGTCGATAGTTCGATATCCAGTCGTGAAAACATTAAAATTAAAATTCATTCTAATACCACTATATATTATATATAAATATGATTCACTAACATATTTATCGTTGCTACGTACTATATATAGTTTCCTCATTGACATGAATTACCAAACTTTGAGATTGATATAACGTCAGCGTCAAGTGCCGTGAAATGCTCAATCGCCAAAGAATTCTTTATATAAGTAGACAAGACAGGTGACATATACCCTCATAAGTTGCGTCTCGCGGGTTCAAAGTTTCCGAACCATCTCGAGCTGCCTCCAATCATCGAGTTTCGAGAAACAACAACTCGAAACGACCTCACTTCATTCGTGCCTTCGCAACTTTGGAGAATAACTTAGAAATTCAATTTGCAGTCGGTGAGCTGTGCAGTCGGCCTGTTATGAACCTACGTCTGTAACTTTAAATAATGCTGTGGTCTCCTAGAAGCATCATAAGTCTTGTAACGTGACGCATTACGCCGCATAATGTTGCTAACTATTGTCGCTTTGGAAGGTAGACATCTTCTCCACTTCTTCGATTTGGTTGAGAACAATCCCAAGTTCAGAGACGTAGAGGTTGTCTGCGAAGGTGTCTTGCGTAAGAAAACTGAGGTGGAAAAGCTCAGGGTGAAAGACCCAAAGAGACACTTTAATAAAGGTAAGGGCTGCGGTCACGTCAGCCTGCCTTAGTAAATGGGTATATACACTAATAAAAGCTTAAGATTTTCTATTTTTGTTTCTTTGACGTGTGTAGTGTGTTATATACACTTATGACTTTGTATGTTCATAGTCTCGTAGATCGTAGAGCCTATCGGGGTACGACGTACGTAGCACAGTGTTTTAGACTAATGGGGTTTGGATAGGGGTTTTTAATAGCCAAACCTGTACACTTAGAGTTTTAGTGGGTAGGGGTTAAATCGGAATCCCACACTCCATCTCCTACTTAATCTGGTCCAGGGGGTGGGTCAGTATAGTGTCCATTTCTGCATGGAAAGAAAAAAATATTATCTTTTAATGTGAGATGATTTAATATGATTGCGTGTGCGACGTCGTCTCGTTTACAACAGTTCACAATAATTAATAGTGTACAGACAATTGAATAATCACCAATTACTTATGCGATGTACAGTTTCTGTAACCGTAAAACGTGTTACGTAGGTGGAGTAAGGCTGTGTTGTTAAAGCCTTTATAGGAAACACGGCCTTAGAAATTGTTAGCATCGCTGGGCTCTCTTTTAATGACTTGTGATTCTGACTGAAACAGAATTGTTCAGGGTGTAACGTAAATTTTGTATGCGCTCCACTGCGACATTTTTAAATATACAGAGTGTTGCTTTAAGTTGTACGAACAAAAGTAATTGTTTTTGTAAGGTCTGAAACAGCTGTTTTATATTTTAGCCCTTGCAATAAAAATTATCAAGACAAATGTTTTGAAGTGGTATGATAAATTTGATATATTTTGTCCTATAAAAATAAGAGTTTATTTTTTAAGTTTCCTCTTGTGTAAGTTGAATTAAACAGAAAGATAAACAAGAATGTCAAAAGGCTTTCTCGAGTTATTCGTATACTCAAAGAGAATAAGATAAAGCAATTAATTACACTTATCTACTTGTATTGTTCTTTGAACAATATCTTTTAAGTTGACAATAGAATTTTTGTCCTTCATACACTTATGTTTAAGTACTATAATTTTGGAGCTAAGGGTAATGTCTGTAATACAGACAAAGCATTTCTTAATAATCATTTAGATTTATATGGACTATGTCTATTATTATTAGCATTAAAAGAAAACCCTAAAAGTGAAAGATTCTGCATCTTCAAGTACTTGAATAATGTTCGATTAAACTATAATAATTAATTAATATTTTGTTACGACTAGAAAACTTGGACTTCTTGTTTTTAATTCAATTATATTACAATTATTTATGCAATAACTATATTAAATAAAACACTTTAACGTTTAAAAATATATTATTTTGAAAATGATTTTTAACTTCGTTTATTTTAACTAAGTTTAACTAATATATCGCGTTTTAAACCGTTAAAGTGTTTTATTTAAATGTGTACTACTCGCGTAAACTGTAGACAGTATTTACATATCACTATATTTTTTTTAAACTAGAGGAGGACAGAGAGCATGCCAGCCACATATAGCATCTAAACAAGATGCACTGTTGATCTATTTTGGCTTGGATATTCGGAAATCCACAGACTGAAAACGAAACGCAATTAAAATTCATGGTTTTTTTTCATCTGCGGACGGCGGCTTGTGAACTGAACCGAATTTCTATATTCCTACCACCCATTCAGTATTCAGATTTCCAGACGAAGTCCAATATGTTTCAGAAAAATTGTAAACATGTTGGACTTGGCGGGGGTCGAAGCCACGAGCCATTGATTATTAGCCATAGATTACTATTATTAGACCACCGAGCCTGTCAAATGTATATTATATATGGAAAAAGTATAAGTTAGTACTTATATATAAATCTGCCTCTTATACATAAGGGTACTCAAAAGTCATATGAATGCTCTTAAAGTGAAATAACTACTTTGTATTGAATAAAATATAGAATTTGCGCTATAACATAAACGAGACGTGATATGAATACCTGAGCATGTAAATACAGTTGGGTGCTCGCGGACCGGCAACGATGTCTAGACAAATATTAGACATGCATTTCGCAAATATATACGTTAAATTCATTTTGATACCTTTTCGGAATAGAACCGCTTCTTTAAGACAAATTTTTTTCTTTTAAAACAAAATAGTAAGTTTCCCCGAGATTCGAACCTAGGGTGCCTCGTGCTAAACGCAAAACTTGGCAACACGTTCAACCATTTAGCTTCAGCGGCGATCAAAGAGGGATTAAAAAAAAAAGGTCGTGGGTGCTCCCCGCCGAGCACGTTTCTAATCAAATTATAATTTTTCTCAACACGTTGGACTTCGTCTGGAAATCTGGATATTAAATGATGGTAAGAATATCGAAATTTCGTCCGAGTCACGAAACACCGTCCACAGATACAAAATTATTGAAGTTTAATCTACTGTGTCCTCTTCGATCACAAAAAAAAAACTAATTTAAAACAATAATTACAAATGGTTCACGTAGATAATTAATCGAATGCAAACTAAAAGAAACTATCAAAGAATTACAGTTGAAATTTCAGACGATCAAATACTGTCTATAGTTTACATGAGTAGTACCTACCATTAAAAACACTTTAACGTTTAACTGCGATATATTAAATATTATTTAAATTACTGCTCGTTACTGTCTCGGATGATGATGCAGCAGCCGTAGACACGGGGAGACATAATACGTAAGTTAACTTTAAAGTTAAAATATATCGCGTTTAAAACCGTTAAAGTGTTTTATTTAAATTTTAGTCGATTACACAATCTGGGCTGGACAACTGGGTGAACTATTACACTGTTTGTTGTGGTCTTGGTACTGAATTCAATAAACACTCGTGTTAATTCAAGGTGTGGAAATCTCCCGTTAGCGATTCTAGGAAATTTACAAATCGAAGCATTATGTTCGACGTATTGGAAATGCAAACGATAAGGGCACACAACTAAAGTTTGCACCGGGGCTCTCCAAACCAGATAAGTCTCTGTTACACATTAGATTATTACCGTTATGTGTAATATGGAGGTTTTGTATCTATTAGCAGCGATGTTAAATATATCTCTCAACTTTAATAGTCTGTCTGTAGTTTACGCGAGTTATACACATTTGAATAAAACACTAACAGTTTAAAACGCGATATTTATTAGTTAAACTTATTTAATAAATATATACTTTGAAGCAGCCGTGGTCATGGAGAGATAATTTTCAAATAAGATTAACTAATATATATCGCGTTTTAAATCGTTACAGTGTTTAATTAAAACTACAGACAGTACAGACTATTAAAGTTGAGAGGTATATGTAACATCGTTTCTAATAGATACCAAGCCTCCATAGATAAAATGTTTTATTCAAATCAATAGCCTGGGGCAATTATGTGGAAAGATATAAACCTGTACGCAAAACGCTTAACAGACTGGATACTACAAGTTACGTAACGCGTCTTAAGGTATCATTTCGAAGAAAAACCTACAACTTGACTACAAATATTAAACAATTATTTACGCTTTAGTAGATCAGTAACACAACCACAACCAGTACAGTACGTTCGTCGAATGTTCTATCTCGTCTGTGTTGTTTTTATTGTCATAAATTTCTTGTTCAGTACATTTTGCTTCATTTTGTGTTGTAATTATAAATATTAATACGAATTGGAATAATTTACACTCCTGTTCTTGTAATTTTTACATCATTCGTAAGCAAAAATAGAAGTAAGCTCAGCTTTCTATAATTTTTAAAAGTTGTATTTATGAGTGCTTCTTGGTGATAACGACTTGTAATACTTTCAGCATATACTAAGAGAGGAACTTGAGGCATTTCTCTTAGGAATGGAGGACGAAATGCCGAAATGTCGACATAATTGAATGAATGTAGTTTCGTGCGAACATTAAACAGAGTATGTCAGTAATTGATGCTCTGAATTTTAATACAATTCAGCCAGGATCTCATAAAACGTGGTTTTTAGGTTAGTGCTAAAAGGGAGTATTTTTTATATTTGTAGTTGTTTATATCGTCTGCGTTTTATTCTACTTGCCTGTTCACTGGATGTACTCGTGAGGTGATGTACCCAAGTCATATATCATCTAACCAAGATAGATAACAACTAATTTGGCTTTGGTTATTCGGAAATCCACAGACTGAAATCAAAACGTGTATACTCGTATTTATCATCTATGTGTATGGTGGTTTATGACGCAAACGGAATTTCGATATTCGTACTCGTTTAATATCAAGATTTCCTGACGGAGTCCAACTTGCTTCAGAAAAAAATATTAACAAATTAGAACCATCTTAGAACGACTAGTTGTATTCCCGATTCCCTCGATTAAATCTCTCAATAAATTTCTGTTGATATAACACACAATCACTGGATCAATGATTATAAAATACTAACTACCGCTAATTTTTTCCATATAAATAATTTTACTAAAATGTCTATTAAAAACTAAACAGTAAAATTGAGGAAAAAATGTATTTTTGCATGTTGTAAAAAAAGAGCAAAAAATAAATTAGGGGGAAAAACCCTTAAAAAAAGGGGGGAAAAAAAAAAAGGGGGGGGCCTTTTTCCGACCCCCCGGAAAAAAAAAGGGAAATGGGGGAAAAAGGGGGGGGGGGGTTGGGGGGGGGTTCAGGTCCGAACACCGGGACACGAGAATTTTATATTATATATTTAACAGTAATCAATGTTTAAAACCTAAGAAGAAGAGCCCTAGCATAGATTACACTTTACTGTTGCGTAAAAAATTTAGAGCGAGTAATTTTCTTTCTTGCGTCTTTATACCGACATTCGTTTCGCCTTTTATTTGCCTATAAAATTGTTTTTATCGGAAAACATAGTGTAAGAAAGCTGTCTTACATCAGAGCTCAGGAATATTTATGTGCAGGACGCCGCTACATAAATTATTCAGAATGAACTTAGTCGGTAATTTGAATGGGGTGAAAAATGTCTCTCACGGGGATCCGGGCACCCCCTTCCATGGCCATCTTACGATCGCTCTTCGCCGACATCGCCATCTTGAGACGATTGACGAACGAACTTGACGTTTTCTCTTTTTGG